TCTAAGTACCTGATGCGTACGCAGGCACACGTACGCACAGTGTGTGTACGTCACTTGTAGGTACCTGATGCGTACGCAGGCACACGTACGCACAGTGTGTGTACGTCACTTGTAGGTACCTGATGCGTACGCAGGCACACGTACGCACAGTGTGTGTACGTCACTTGTAGGTACCTGATGCGTACGCAGGCACACGTACGCACAGTGTGTGTACGTTATTTGTAAGTACTTGATATATACATCATTTGTATATGTCCTTTTAGTCTGATTCAGTTCTTATCCATTTTTCACACAGGCTGCTGTTTTTGCCATCTTAACAAGTTGGCAATATTTTTTTCTTTTTTCTTTAAATCCAAGTTAGTTAACATATAGTGTAATAATGATTTCGGGAGTAGAATGCAGTGATTCATCACTTGCATATAACAAGTGCTCATCCCCAAAGTGTCTCCTCCATGCCCATCACCCATCGAGCCACTACCCCCACTCGCCCCACCAACCCTCAGTTCTAAGGCTTACGGTTTGTCTCCCTCTTTGTTCATCTTATTTCTCCTTCCCTTCCCCTGTGTTCATCTGTTTTGTTTCTTAAATTCCACATATGAATGAAATCATATGATATTTCTCTCTTTCTGATTGACTCATTTTGTTGAACACAGTACCCTCTAGTTCCATCTGTGTTAGCTGCAAATGGCAAGGCTCCATTCTTTTTGATCACTGAGTACTATTCCATTGTGTATATATAAACTACTTCTTTATCCACTTGTCAGTCAGTGGACATTTGGGCTTTTTCCATAATTTGGCTATTGTTCATGTTGCTATAAACATCAGGGTGCATGTGCCCCCTTGAATCGGCATTTTTGTATCCTTTGGGTAAATACCTAGTAGTACGATTACTGGATTGTAGGGTAGTTCTATTTTTAATTTTTTGAGGAACCCCTACCATTTTCCAGAGTGGCTGCACCAGTTTGCATTCCCACTAACAGTGCAAAAGAGATTCTCTTTCTCCGCATCCTCGCCAACACCTGTTGCTGCCTGAGTTGTTAATGTCGGCCATTCTGACAGGTGTGAGGTGGTATCTCACTGTGGTTTTGATCTGTATTTCCCAGGTGATGAATGATGTTGAGCAGTTTTTCATGTGTCTGTTGGCCATCTGGATTTCTTCTTTGGAGAAGTGTCTATTCATGTCTTCTGCCCATTTCTTCACTGGATTAATATTTTTGGGGGGGTGTTGAGTATAATTTCTTTATGGTCTTTTGGGTACTAACCCTTTACCTGATATGTTGTTTGCAAATTTCTCCTCCCATTCTTGCCTTTTAGTTTTGCTGATTGTTTCCTTCATTGTGCAGAAGCTTTTTATCTTGATGAGGTCCCAATAGTTCATTTTTGCTCTTGTTTCCCTTTGCCTCCAGAGGCAATATTTAATTTTTGTTAAAATACTGTTTTAAGAAAGTGTTGTGGCCAGTGATGGATCATTTTTGATGTTTCATGCTTAATAATTGGACAGAAAAATTTGACTAGCTATGGGCTCCAGGCGAATTTTGAATGGCCAGCAGTGAGCTCACTGACATGGACGTACTTGTTGGACAGCACTGTTGCTCAGGATGTGCAGGACAGTGTCCAGCCTGCCGATCCCTGGGCCCCGTGTGTCTAGATGGGAAGGTGTTTGGGGGACTTCTAGGACCTTCCCAGCACCACACTTTGAGATTACCTCATTTGGATGGAGACCATGGGCTACGGTAGTGAAGTATCACCCAGTGCAGCCTACAGCCCGTCTACACCCACACTGTGGGGGTGGAGACCGTGGGCGACGGTAATGAAGTTTCACCCATTCCAGGCTCCAGCCCGTCTATACTTGGAGCAGTCACTTGCCAGATGCTGGTTTTACCCACATCTCATGATGTTTTTCTTAAGACCCCTTCTCTTCCTGCCCGTCTGTCCTGGTCCTGTATCAGTGGGTCACTGATGGTGAGGATGTGCCCCCAGCAGGTGCCCCCAGACCCTGGACAGCTGTCTGTGGTTGGGTATAGAATGCAGCACCAAAGGGCTCTGCTCAACTCTGATCTTTTCGATGACTTTTTCCTATGAGAGTCCTGCTTTCCAGAAAGAGCCAGCTGTCTTTGTTGTGTTTCTGGCCCCAGGGGCCATTGCGTTGAGGGGTTTCTGGTGGCCTGGAGATGAGGACCCCAAGCAGCGTGCTGGGCACAGGCGAGTGTTTCTCAGGGAAAGGCCCCTCTGAACACCTACCGAGTTTAGCTTTGAAGGGATGGCACTGTCCGGCTGGGGCGGGCGTGCAAGCCAGAGCTCCCAGCTTTTACTGCAGATAAAGGAGTGAATAAATGTGTGTGACTTGTCATTTGGTAACTTCCAGCTTCAAACGGCCTGTCTTCAGGCCGTGGCTGCCTTCTGCCCCGCCCCGTGCAGTGCGCCTGGCGCCTCTCCACGTCCCCCTAAGCTGGTGGCAGTGCTGCCTCACGGGGGGTTTTGTGCTCAGTTCACACTGGATTTCAGGCCTGAGGTGGGAAGGACGTGGAGGCCACACGGGTGCTAGTGAGGGGCCTGGCCTCCCGTGCCCTGGCTGGTCCCCAGGCCGCGGGGCCAGCGGCCACTCAGGCTGCCACACCAGCTGCTGACCGTGGACCCCGGGCAGACTCTGCCTGAAGCCCTGCGTGGCCCCTGTGGGCCATGCCACCTTGCGCCCAGGGCCTGTGGGCTCCGCGCCACCCGGTCTGCCCCCCCCCCCGCCTGCCCCACATGGCCCCGACCGTCGGTCCTCCTCCCCACGTCCGTGGTCTCGTATGGACTGTGGATGTGATTATTTTCTGGGCAGATAGAAGCTGTTTGCAGATTGTCTGAGTAATTAGTGGACAGTCACCCACACGGACCCAGAAACTGGGCTGTGAGGTGTGTCTTCTCTTGCCGAGGTGCTCTCCCCGAGTCACCCCAGGGTACCCTTGAGTCATGGGAAACCTGAGAAATCCTCGACGTTTTGTACTTAAAATATGTGTGTTGTTTCGTGGCCTGAAGGTATTTCTGTACATTCACAGTCGATAGTATAAAATTGCACATGTGACTAGGGGAAAATCCACCATTTCTAGTTTATTTTTTACTTAAAAATTTTTTTTAAACATTTATTTATTTTTGACTGACAGAGAGAGACAGTGTGAGCAGGGGAGGGGCAGAGAGAGGGGGAGACACAGAATCCGAAGCAGCTCCAGGCTCCGAGCTGTCAGCACAGAGCCCGACGCGGGGCCCGAACCCACGAACCGTGAGGTCATGACCTGAGCCGAAGGCGGATGCTCAGTTGACTGAGCCACCCAGGTGCCCCTATTTTTTATTTCTAATTTCACTTTGAACTCTCTTGATTTTCATTTTCTCTCATGTTCCTTCAAGTAAGGAGTACCCTTTGGAGAGTTCTCCGCCAACCAGACTCCACGGGCAGCGAGTCCTCAGCCACGGGCCAGCCGCCGTGCGCTGTGTCCAGTTCTCAGGTGCGCTGAGTCCGGGGCCACGCTTCCCTGCATGCGCGAGGGTCTCTTACCCGCCACCTCGCTGCTGTAAACAGGGCTCAAGAGTCTTGCTTGCAGTTGTCTGGCGCTGCCGGGGTCAGGATGAAAGCCAAAGGTCACCCAGAACGAGGGTGTTGGCGCTTGTGCTGGCCGCTGCTGAGGCCACTGAGGCACAGGGCCCTGGATGGAGGCCTCCCCGGGTCTGCGCGAAGAGCCTGGCAGGGGTCTGGGGGACGGGGCGGCTCCCTCCCTTCCCCCCCGACGGAGCCCTTCCCGCCCGGCCGACCCCACAGCGCCCCTACCTGACGGCTTCTCTGGGTCTTCATTTTTCTGAAGCAGGTTTGCAGGAAGTGGGGCGCAGCTCCCACCCAGGCGGCTCCCCTCTTTGAGCCCTTTTCTTCAGAAGCATGAGTCGTTTCTGGGTTTAAATGGAGTCAGTCCAGGGTGGGGAGGCAGCTTCTGTCTGGGGGCCAGTACCCGCCCCACCGGCCTCCATGACAGTGTCAGCAGTCATCCCCTCAGTTCTCCAAGTGCGCTCATGCCTACGGGTCATCGTTGCTTACAGCTGGGTTTCATATAATCCTCGCCAAGGCATATTTTGAATAACTTTGGGAAATAAGATAACCTACTCTCAACAGTAAAGTATCTTTCTGATATTCAGTGGGCTTGCTTGTGATTATATGATACAGTTGGGTTTGAAAATTACAGGGAGTTCTGTAATTTAGTTCTGCCCTGTTTTAGGGTTATGTTTAAATAAAACTGTTTAGTTGAATAACGTGTCTTAAAAAAATCTGTGGGTGGGAGGCAGGGCGCCCTGGGTTAGGGTACTTCGGGCTCAGATCCCAGCGCCGACTCTTGACTAGCCCTGCCGCCGGGGCCTGCTGCCTCAGCTCCTCCGTCCGGGCCTTCTCTGTGAGGGAACCGGGGGGACGTCCCCTGGTGGACCCTCAGCTCCCCTCTCTGTGAGGGAACCCGGGGGACGTCCCCTGGTGGACCCTCAGAGGGTGCTGGTTGGCTGTGGAGCACATGCTGTTTGTTGTGGATTTTCTCACCGCCTGAGAAGCCCAGCCTCAAGCTGACTACAGCTCTGTGCTTCCCGTAGCGAGGTGCCTCCTGTGCGCTGTGACTTCATAGGCGTTTCTCTTGCTGTTTTTAAGCAGGAGATGGACGATGGCTGGCCTGTGGCTTAGCCAACCACTTGGCGCTGGTCTTCCGTGCTGATCTCACCGGGACACCCACTGTCTTCTCAGGTACAGCGTGTGGGTCTCCTCGTGGTCCTGGGTGTCGACTGCCACGTGCCCTTCCATTCCCTTCAAGATCAGAACGGAATAGAACTAAGGCCCGCATGGAGGCTTCGCGAGCTAGATGGGCCCCGCCACGCCGGGCAGAGGGCGAAACCGGGGCGGCCAGGGCGGCGGGCACTTCTGCCGCAGGGGCGCCGAGGTCTGAGAGCAGAGCTTTTGCAAAGGTCCGGGGGAGGGTGCAGTCAGATCTCACAGACTCGTGACCAAAGCAGGTTCGGAAAGTTAGGAGGGCTTGTCTGCAGACGTTTTCATAAAAGTGACGAGGCGAGGGCGTTTCTAGGTGAGTAGACTCGAGGGGACGGCAGTGGTGTGGGAAGTCTCGCCGGCTCAGTTTCCCGACAGACTCCCGGCCCCCGAGCCTGAGCTACCGGAACTGCCTGCTTTAAGACTCATGCTTGGTACCTGTTTTAGCAACGGTAAAAACCCAACAAGCAAATGCTGCCAGTCCAGGTGCTGACGTAGATGGGTGGGGTGCAGGTGTGGTGTGGGGGGGATGGGAGGTGCAGGCAGGGTGGGGGCTGAGGTCCTCGTGGGGGTGGACTGGGGGGGCGCAGGTGTGGTGGCAGGAAGGGCAGGGCGCAGGTATGGCGGGGGCAGGTGCGTGCCTCCCAGTGTCCTGTGGACGCAGGCTCCCCGTCCTGGCGGTCAGGAGGAGGGCCCCCGTGGAGGGTGCCCCCCAGCCTGCAGCCCGCATTGTGCCCCGCGCACCCTGTGGCTCCTCCTGGCTCGAAACTGTGCCCTGGATGTTCTCGCTAAGGCGCCTGGCGTGTGCTGGTCTCTCTGTTACTCCACGACTGTCATAAATAGCAATTATGTCCAATGGGGACACTTCTCTAAGTGTCTTACTGCAGGAATGATGCTTGTGGCTGAATTAAGATAAGGCAGTAGATACCCGAACTCGCCTACTTGTGTTTTGGGGAAGAGTCATTCTTCACACCCACCTTGTGCAGCTGGTTTAACAGTCCTGTAGTTCAGCTCTGAAAGCGAGTGCTTTCTCTGCACTTGCCGCGGGGAGCAGGAAAATGGGCACCTTCACCTTCATCATCATCTAAGACAAATGAGAGAGGTTTGTTCTGGGTGTTTTGTTGTGGGTAGAATCAGATGCTGAATTCGATTTCCCTCCTGCAGGGTTCTCAGAGGGCACAGGTGGGTGTGCCTTCTGGTCTGAAAACCAGAGATCAAGGTTGCGTTGGATTTAGTAGGGGCACTGATGTTGGTGCCGTGGCTCTCAGAACGCCTTCTGTGGAAGGCGCTCACGTTTGTGCCGTGGGACCTTCTGTCCCACCTTGTACAGCACCCGCCTTGGAACTCCTGCCCCTGGGTCAGCAAGCGCTGGGCACGGAGCAGACGGGGGGTGTGCCCGAGGCTGAGGGCTGTAACACTGAGACTCTGGGGCCAGCCACTCCAGGAGATTAAATTGAATTAATATTTTATTAAGTAATGCAGAATTGCATAAAAACCAGTTCTTAATAAGGTAGAGTTAAGCTGAGAACCTTTGTTTCCTGGTGTGCAGGTCTCCGTCCACTGGAGCTCAGCCACGCTGTCGGTGTCTGCCTTCCTTCTCCGTGGTGTGGGGACCACACACCCGGCCGTGGCTGTGGCCGTGGCTCCGGGGAAGGAGAGGACTCAGATGTGTTTGTGTCCTGGTCATTCGGTTCTGAGGCTTATCTCCCCAGCACGCACAACGCAGGGACATCGGCCACCCCGGGGGGAGGTCGTCCACGTGGTGCAGCGAGCCGGCCCAGTGTGCAGCCCAGAACTGAGCAGGTCAGCCTGCGCCCCACATAGGCGCGCTGGCCAGCGGAGCTGGGGTCCCACGCGAGGCCTGGAGGTCACAGCTGCCTGTGTGCAGGGGGAGCTCGGGGAGAAGGTCGTATGGGGGTTCCCGCAGTTCTCATTCGGAGTCAGAGAGGTTTGTCCCTCGGCCCCGAGCTGCCGCCTTGGGCAGGCTTGTCGGCCCGGGACACGTGGGCACCAGCAGAGGGCGCCCCTGTCCTGTCTGCAGTGGGAGTGCTTCTACCTTCTTGGGTGACTCAGTGGGCCCTGTCTGGGCGCCCAGGCTTGGAACAGCATTTAGTGGTGGGAGGGACCGGAGGACGGAAGGAGGGCGTCCCCACGCGGCAGTGGGCGACCGCTTAATAGGGAAGAAGGACACCCAGCTAGACGGTGGTGACGTGGCCGTGTGTGTCCCTGCAGCCTGTGGGAGGAGGGAGGCGGTGGTGGAGGGAGCCGCTCGCTCAGCCGGAATTGCAGGTGCACCCGCGGGTCCGGCCCGACGGGGCAGAGCTGGCCGCCCACCTGTGGCGCCCTTGCCCTGGGTCTGCAGCCGGGACGCCAGCGGTGGCTGTGGGCCCTGAGACACGCCGACCGCCAGTGAACGCTCCGGGGCCCCTCTCCGGTGGCGGTTCCAAGCCTGCTCCCCCGCCGCCCCGCAGTGGTGATGTCACCCGCTCACAGGGCCTTAGTCCTTCTGCTGAAACTGCCACGAGCCGCCACCAGGGGGCAGCAGCGCCTGTGCAGCTGAAATTCTGGCTGGGTGGCCGCGGTCAGAACTGCAGTCTCTGCTCCTCATGAATCTCTCCCGCTTCCCCATCTTTCTCGTGTTGGTTTGACGGCGGGGGGGATGTGAGCCTGCAGTTCAGGGTCTCCTCTTCGGGGGTCTGGCCGCAGCAGGAACGTCCACACGGTTGTGGGGGCTCCGTGCCCGTCCAGGGAGGTGGGTGCCACGGCCGGGCTGGGTCCCCGGTGCGCTGCTCGCCTGGGGCCCCTCTGCGCAGTCCCGGGTGGTGTGGGATGCGGGGCCTGCGCCGGACGACAGCCTCTGCGGCGCAGGGTCACGGGGGCCACGGGGCCACGCGGCCTGGCACTGGGTCTCTAGCCCCCCGGGTTCTGCCCCGCCCTCTCCGTCCCCACTTCTGAAGGCGACCGGTTTTCATTTCTGAAACCGCCCGCGCCCACCAGGGCCACCTGCCCCTCCTTTCCTTGGGCTCCTGTCGTGAGAGCGGCAGGTGGCCGCAGGGTCAGGCTGGCTTTAAGACGCCTCCCCGGGGTGACCACCTTTGTCAGTAGTCGCGGATGGGGCGTGTGTGAGCAGGTGCCGGACGGGAGGAGCGGCTGGCGGGCGGGTGGGGTCCCGGGCCCTCCGTGGTCAGCGCGGAGCTGGGTGCACGGACCGCTGCCCCACTGACCACGTGTGTGTTTGGGGAGAGGTGCCGCGTGGACGCCCAGCCCTGCACATCCCGGCTCCTGTCTAGGAGGGCAAGGCGCCCCGGAGATCGCGCCCCTGACCCGTCAGCGCAGTGGCCCGGCGTTCCCACCGCCCGACGTGAGGACCAGGCCCCTGCCGAGCGGCGACTCGCTGCCTGCGGGCTCAGGGCGGTGGTGGGGGTGACACAGGTCGGGGGTCCCAGTGGCCCGAAGCACAGACTGCACTTGTCATCGTAGAACTTCTCTCTAGGGGTTTTGGATTAGAAGTGAGAAGCAGGTAACCACTGTTTCTCGACCATGTTTCTTTTCAGCCGTGGCGTGTGCGCTCCTCTCTGAGCGGCACATTCGACAAACGGTTCCCACGGCCTGTGGTGCGGCCCCGGTGGCGAGTGTGTGGCCAGCAGGGGCCTAACAGGCCGTCCCGTGGCACCTGACCCTGTGCAGTCAGCCCCGTGACTGCTCCCTTCAAGGCTGGAAGACCAGCAGCTCCTTAAGATGCATTATCGTGAAGTCCACTGACTTTTTTTTTCTGTTTTATATTTTTTTAATGTTTATTTATTTTTGACAAAGAGACAGATCATGAGTGGGGGAGGGTCAGAGAGAGAGGGAGACACGGAATCTGAAGGAGGCTTCAGGCTCCGAGCTGTCAGCACAGAGTCCGACGTGGGGGTCGAATCCACAGACTGTGAGATCATGACCTGAGCTGAAGGTGGATGCTTAACCGACTGAGACCCTCAGGCGCCCCTGAAGTCCACAGATTTCTATACATTTTATAAGTTTCTGCATTTTTTTCTTCTTTTAAGACACAAATTCAAACGTAATTTTGAGCTTCCTGTTTTATTTTTCCTTTTTTAATAGTTTATTATCAAGTTGGTTTCCATATAACACCCAGTTCTCATCCCCCCAAGTGCCCCCCTCCATGCCCATCATATGTTTTAAATATAAGTTTTTGGAATCCCTACATCACAAACCACGTTAAATCTTCAAATGAGGTAAAAGTCTCCTTCTTGGCCTTTGGTTTCACTGGTGTCCCTGTGGCCTGGCCATTTATTCCTAGAAGCTGCACTCGGCTGTGCCGCATGAAGGTTCCAGGTGCCCCTCTGTCTCCCATTAGGTCATGACGGGGCAGTGAGCACCGTGTGCTGGAGTCACAACGGCAGGTGGCTGCTGTCGGCCTCCCTGGACGGGATGCTGAGGGTGTGGACGCTGCGTAGGGCGGAGCTGGTGCTGTGTGTGGTAAGGGGCGACGGCGGGCCGGGACTTCACCGTCACCACGCGTGTCACAGGCTCACAGAGGCTCAGTAGTGCCTTCTCGGGCCCCAGGCTCTTAGCCTAACTGGGAGGCTGGGGACCGGGTGAGCCAGGGATACACCGGAGCTCCGACAGTGGCTGACGATGAAGTGTTTTCTCAAACACGTGCGTATGTGTACCTGCCCGCGTACCTAACGTGCACGTACACACAGTACGTGTGAGCATCTAGATGTGCTTGGGGGTGAGCGCCTGGGGAGGGGGAGGCAACCCGGGAGGGAGGTGCCCCTCTCACGGCCAAGATGGGAACAGGGTAGCGGGCTGAGGAGCCCGCAAACCGCAAGTTGTCAAAGATGTGGTTTGCTCACTTCCTGGGAGTCTGTCATAAGGGGGGTCGAATCCTAGGAGACTGAGCGGGAGGGAGGCGCGTCGGACCTGGGGCCCTGGGTCGGGAAGTTTGGCAGCAGGCGGAGGGGACGCACCTGTTTTAGGGCTGTTGACACTCTTACCTCAGGCGGCTGAGATGCAGCCTGAGGGCGGACCCCAGGCTATGCCGTGGCCACAGTTCTGTCTTTAATAAAATCCTCGCTATTCATGTGCTCGCTGCCACGTGTCGGTCTCATTTTAAAGTTTTTAAGTGGCCAGAATTCAAGATACTTGCTCCGTGGAACCTCTTTTAGAAGTAGTCAGAGAGGGGACAAAATTGGAAGCAGGTTGACGCTCTGTCTGAACACGTGGGGTAGACGTGTGGGGCTGAGACGAAGACTGTCGTGTTTCGAGCGGCGGAGTTCCGTGGTAAGGCCTGTTGCGTCGGCGGCCACTCCCCGTCTGCCTTGCAGGGCAGAGCCCTGTGTCCGAAGCCCGTCCGCTGCGCACAGTTTTACTACATGGACACTTTCATACTGTCTTCTGCCGGCCCTGAACTCCAGCTCCTGAAGTACCACATCGACACGAGCAAGGACGAGAGAAGAAGGTACGTAGCCTCCTCTGCCGGCTTCCCTCTCGGCGGGGACGCGGGGTTCCAGGGCTGACGTGTGTGAAACAGGTGTTTCCGGTGGTGAATGTTACGTGATCGCCTCCTGGCAGGCTGCTGGCCAGGGCCTGGTGACCGGCCTCTCCCCGCCCGGGGCCCGACGTGCGGCCCCGCTCACGGGGCCCAGGGCGGGTGACGACAGGCTCCGGGGCTTCGGAACGTGGAGTTCTCACCTTTGATGGCTGTTGTGCGGGACGATTACTGCTGTGTTTATGACGAAGTTGGAGATGAAACGTTTCCCACACATGCGTGTGCTGAGTATTTGTACTAAATGCCTGTTTAGCTACACCTCCTTTTGGTCAATATTAACATTTGTTTGTTTCCAAAGTTTTTAAAGAAATGAAAGTTATAGGGATAATGAGAGGCTGCCTTTCCAGAGCTTTCCCTCCCGTTCCCTCTGCCCCCCAGGCCCCCGCCCCGCTCACCCGGGTGAGTGTAGCACCACCGGGCCCGGTGCCACTGGCTGTACTCCCTGTGCTGCACTCTGTCCCCGATGTGGGTTGTATGAATCTGTTTGTGTTTCATCGTTGTTTTGCTTTGAGATTCCACTCGTAAGTGAGATCATATAGTGTCTCTTCTTCTCAGACTTATTTCACTGAAATTCCAGTTTGTGTTCTTTCTTGTGCCTGAGTAACATTCCGTTTGTGTGGTGTGTGTGTGTGTGTGTGTGTCTCTCTGTATGTGTCTGTGTGTGTGTCTCTCTATGTGTCTGTGTGTCTCTCTGTATATGTCTGTGTGTATGTGTCTCTCTCTCTGTATGTGTCTGTGTGTGTGTGTCTCTCTCTGTATGTGTCTGCGTGTCTGTGTGTCTGTGTATGTGTCTGCGTGTGTGTCTGTGTGTGTGTCTCTCTCTCTGTATGTGTCTGTGTGTCTGTGTCTCTCTCTGTATGTGTCTGCATGTCTGTGTGTCTATGTGTATGTGTCTGCGTGTGTGTGTCTGTGTGTGTGTCTGCGTGTGTGTCTCTCTGTATGTGTCTGTGTGTGTCTCTCTCTGTATGTGTCTGCGTGTCTGTGTGTCTGTATATGTGTCTGCGTGTGTGTCTGTGTGTGTGTGTCTCTCTCTGTTATGTGTCTCTGTGTCTCTATATGTCTGTGTGTGTGTGTCTCTCTCTATGTGTCTGTGTTTGTGTGTGTCTCTCTATGTGTCTGTGTGTGTGTGTCTCTCTCTGTATGTGTCTGTGTGTGTGTGTCTCTCTCTGTATGTGTCTGTGTGTGTGTCTCTCTCTGTATGTGTCTGTGTGTGTGTGTCTCTCTATGTGTCTGCGTGTGTGTGTCTGTGTCTGCGTGTGTGTCTGCCTGTGCACACGTGCCCACTGTGTCCCCTCACCCGCCCATCAGTGGACAGGGGCGTCTTCCATGTCGTGCTGTTGGGACTTGCCTCTTGCTGAGACCCTGGTGGCCGCGACCCATCCGTGGTTCTGGACTTGCTGTGTCTCTAGGTTTCCATGTGACTTTACTTAGTGTTTAAGTGCAACACACCTTTCATAGTAATCAGAATTATGACGGCACAATTATGATTGTGCCGCTGTCACGAGATTTTATGCGGTGGGAGCATGACACACATCTTCACCTGTCCTCTCCCACCGATCCCGGCTTCTCCCGACTTGCCGAGGGTCTCCGGGTGCTGTGCTGGGTTGCGGTGCGCCTGTCTGGAAGCGGGGCTGTGGGGGGCGCGTAGGGGGTCTTCACGCTCTTCTCCGTGCCCAGCAGCGAGCTGTATGCATGCGGCGCGCATGGTGAGTGGGTGCAGGCCCGTCGTCCTCTGGGGGCGCCTCCTTCCTGCAGGGGGTGCCGTCTTCCTTCCTGTAACTAAGGGCCTGATTACGGTTCTCCCGCACACCCTGAGCCACCTGGAGGGGCCGGGGGGCGTTCATCACAGGGTGGGGGTCCCCACCGAGAACTGCCCAGCGCCCTCCATTCTGCTGCCTCTCACTTTATGAGTCAAGGTGGCTGCCGTAGCTACAGGCATCACATCCGTATTTCTTACAGCGAGATGCAGGGCCGACTTTGCTGGAGGCTGCAGGCCACAGGGACCGTCAGAGTGTGTAAACAAGGCGAATTGCGGGGAGACTCACCTCTGCAGCACATGGGGGGGTCACCCCTGCATCAGCTCGCCTGTGCTTTGGAACTTGTGGTTTGCACGAGCCGTATTTCTGCACTTTGAGCTCAGGGTCTGGCTTGCAAGTCACTGTGGGATCTGTTTCACCCCCGTTGTGCCCACTGGGAGACGTGTGGGCAAGTTGTCAGTTCGGTGGCCTTACTGGGTCGCTTTTTAGTTGTGGATGGAGGAGCCCACGTGGCACACGTCCCAGATCTCAGCTGGGAGAGTGGCTCCCTTCTCGGTCAGGCCCAGAAACGTGTGCTAAGGCCACGATGGATTTGGATCAGGTGTGACGGACCCCTGAGCAGAGCGTGGGTCCTGGGGCTGGACAGACATGCAGCACAGAGGGCCCTGGTGGCATCACCCTGTGGCCTTCCCCGTGCACACTGCCTGGCACGCACTCACCCTCAGCCCGTCCCGGAGATGCCCCGCAGGCCGCCCGGCCCCTCCCCCAGCCATGCGCAGTGTCACAGGGAGAAGCCAGGGCAGGGGAAAGCGCCCATCGCAGGTAGGAGAAAGGAAGACGCGTGAGCCGCTGGTCCTTCGTGCTTACTGAGTGAAGCTTGTCAGAACCGAGCGGAGGTCCTGCCTGCCCTGGGTGGATTCCCCGGATTACCTGTCCCGTCTCTACATCCGCCTCTAGCCCACATCCCACACCTGTCGTGGGCGCCCACACTCTGTCCCCTGGGCTGCAGCGTCACGCACCTGCTGCCTTTCGCTGGCGAGTGTTGGGGGCCGGCGAGGAGGAATGAGGGCTGCTGGCTGTTGGGAGCCCGGTGCGCCTCGTGTCCTCGCGGGTTTGGTAGTGCAGCCAGGGCGTGGACGTGGCCTTCACGCCGTCCTCCCGCGCTGGCCTTGCACGCGCTCACGTGCTCCCTGGTGAAAGGCGCGAGCCTCCAGCGGGTGGTGGTGCGCAGCCCGGGCAGCCTCCCCTCTGTCTGGGGGGGAGCCCAGGCCTGTCGCTCAGGCTGCAGCGTTTCATACGTGTAGCAGCGCCAGCTGGAGGTGGCGACTCTGGAGCGGCCGAGGCTCCATGGAGGGGACTCTGGACCTTGCACAGGCTGCAGGCATGGGCACCTCCCGGCAGAGCTGCCTGGTGTTCTGGAAGGCCGCGGGCCGGCCCCCGGTGCACGCCTGTTCTCTGGGAGCAGAGACGGAGATGCTGTGCGCCCAGCAGCACGCTGTTCCTCCCCCTCTGAGCCTGAGGTCGTGGGTGGCCCGCGATGCCCCCGGAGTGCTGTGCCTCGGACAGGAGCCCCTGCACACCCCCACTGCCCGTGGCCTCAGCGCGCGTGTCCTCTCTTCCCCGGCACCCGCTGCTCTTCCTGAGCTGCGTCTCCTGGCCCGTGCTGTCCATGGAGCCGAGCACGGCTCTCCCTCGGAGCCGCCGCTTCCTGCCCGTTACCTGCCCCCTGTCAGCAGGGATGCGCGGTAATTTATGGGGTCTGTGCACGTCACTGAGCTTTCCTACACACCTCCTGTGGCTCCGCCCCGTCTGTCCCCTGAGCCCCATGCCTCCACCCCAGCACCTGCTCCCCAAGTGACCCCTCTGGGTGCCCGTCCCTGTGCCGACCCTGATCAAGGCCCCAGGCTCCCGCCCGACCTTTCCCCGCCTTTCCCCTCAGCCTCCCAGCAGCTCAGACCCCGAGCACCACCCGCGCCCCCTGCCCCTTTGCCCCATCACCGACCTGAACCTGCTTGGGCTAGTCCTTGCCCAGCTGGGCCGGCGGCCGCTGTCTCCCCTCCGCCCCCCCACGCCCTCCCTAGGCCGAGATCACATCCTGAGATTGCCAGCAGCTTCCTTGCCTTTAGGGGATTGTTGTTAGGAATTGTTGAGGCCAAATGTTCATTAAACCAACTGCTGCTTATGTTACCGTTTAGAAGATAATAAGAACATGTTTAAGTGTAAATATAGATAATTTATAATGGGGCGGATGTCTCAAGTATACATAATTATTTTAGAATTAGGAGAAAAATTTGCTTTTTTGAAGGTAGGAATGAATTATTTTGGGCTTTGTATATTGATATTTTTTCATGAAGTTCTCCTAAATGAAAAGCTAGGGTTTCCTAAAGGAAAATTAAGGTAGCTGACTTATTTCTTTGACGTTACAAAGTATAATCATTAAGTGTTATGAAAACTTTCTTCATATTCAATTTCTGAAAAAGTTATATTTATTTTGAGAGAGAAAGAGAGGACACAAGCAGGTGAGGGGCAGAGAGAGAGACGGAGAGAGAGTCCCGGGCAGGCTTCATGCTACAGCACACAGCCTGATGCGGGGTTCGAACCCACCCCCGAACTGTGAGATCATGACCCGACCGAAATCAAGAGTCGGACGTTTACCCGCCTGAGCCACCCAGGCGCCCCCTGTCCAGGGTTTAAAGCCCAGCAGGCTTCACTGTAGTGGAGGGAACATAGAGTTCAAGTGTCTTGTTTCCCTTTCAGATACAGACAGAAGAGCAGCTGCAGACCTGTTTTCAGGCTTCCTACAGCTGGTCCAGCCGAGATCACCAGTTCATCCGCCGTGAACGACTTTTATTCCTGTATCCTTGTCTCTGCTCACAGTGTTTTCACATCCCGAGCACCGTCCGCCTGGCAGAAGTGTCTGCCCGGGCCGGGGCTCCCGGCGCTGGGCTGGGGGCCCACGGCTTCGGCATTGATTGTGTGTGTGGCAGTTTCATCTCCATGGTGAAAAGGAGCATTAACAGTGGATGCAACAGCATGTGACCTACAGAGGGGTGACCTAGCCGGACTTTTCTGATCTGTCCGCGGTTTATTGAATATGTAGTAGTTTCGTACTTTTTAGAAACGAGCGGGTACACTTGCTGCGGACCTCCTCTGCAGACTTCCTTTGCTTAATTGGACTTTGTCCCGCCTCTGTGGAGGCTGGTGAAAGTTACAGCAGTAACTGTTGAATATGAAATTGAGTCCAAAAGTTTTTTATTTTTTAATGTTTATTCATTTTTGAGAGACAGAGTGTGAGTGGGGAGGGGCAGAGAGATGGAGTCCCAGGATCTGAAGCAGCTCCAGGCTCTGAGCTGTCAGCACAGAGCCCGACGCGGGGCTCAAACCCACGAACTGTGAGATCATGACCTGAGCCGAAGTCGGACGCTTAACCGACTGAGCCACCCAGGCGGCCCTCATTCCTTTCTATTAAAAAGCATTGATTTTGATTTATTTACAAGCAAAGTTCTGATCTTTAGGAATTCTTCTTATAAAATTTTAATTTATTGAAAGTCCCAAGTTAGAGTTTTTTGAATGTACTAGGAGAGAGGGGCGGGGACAGGGCTGTGACCACGCCTCTGGAGCCTCGGAAAGTGGCCCTGTGTGTCTCCTGGCGCCCAGAGGGAGTAAGGGCATGAACGGGCCTGCTCGCTCCCTGGGGCGGGCTGCTGAGGGGACTTAGCTCCCTAACTGCCCCGCAGATCTGGTGCTCACAGCAGGCCGGGACAGGGGCGTGGAGGCGTTCGACCTCAACGCGGGCCGCAGCGCAGCCGTGATCGCGGAAGCCCACTCACGGCCCGTCCACCAGATCTGTCAGAACAAGGTGAGTTTTTGACCGTGTGCCGTTTGTAAAATTGTGTTTATGTATTTAACAGGTACAAGCGGATGATGCAGTTGTGTACCAGTTTGCTACCAAACTCAATGCTCGTTTTTAGTCATTAAGTTCTCCAAGCCTCGATGCCTGACCTTGGAAGATATTTTAATATCATGTTAAATGTTTTCGTCCTTTTTTTAAATTTTATGGGCCCATTTTCCAGCTTTACTATAACACATTACCACTTACTGGATGTCCCCGGCCCTCCCGGGGTTGAGGGACGGTCATGCACTTCGCGCAGGAGCACGAAGCAGCCTTCAGGGACCAGTAGTTTCTCTTGTTTGGACGTGGCTGCTGTGTTGACAGAGAAGTAGCTTAGAACTACCCACAGCTGAGGGTTACAGACCAAGATGACAGGAAGTGCTGTTTTGATGAATTCATTGTCTCATCATTTACTTTAAAAGACACTTTGCTACCCAAAAGGGCATCTAAGAGATTTGTGAGCAAAACTTTTGATTTTTAGACTACAACTGCAGTTTTGATTTTTGGTATATTTGGAATGACCTTCCAAATTAAGGGCTGAACTTATAATGCTTTCTGAAATGTGCATTATGATTTCAAGAGTATTTTTTTTTTAAGTTTTTTAGTGTTTATTTATTTTTGAGAGAGAGAGAGAGACAGAGTGCAAGCAGGGGAGGGGCACAGAGGGAGACAGAATCCGAAGCAGCTCCAGGCTCTGAGCTGTCAGCACAGAGCCCTACATGGGGCTCAAACTCATAAATTACGAGATCGTGACCTCAGCCGAAGTCAGACACTTAACCGACTGAACTGCCCAGGTGCCCCGTCCCCCCAACCCCAAGAGGAATATTGTTTTTAAGTGAAGTCTTACTGGATTGGTTAGAAAGTCTCTGGGGCACCTGGGTGGCTTAGTCGGTTAAGCGTCTGACTTTTGCTTAGGTCATGATCTCTCGTTTCGTGGGTTCGAGCCCCGCGTCGGGCTCTGTGCTGACTGCCAGCTCGGAGCCTGGAGCCTGTTTCAGTCTGTGACTCCCTCTCTCTCTGACCCTCCCCTGCTCACGCTGTCCCTCTCTCTCTCTCCTAGAAATAAATAAAAAACATTAAAAAAAAAAAAAAAAGAAAGTCTCTGTTACCTATATTTTCAACACATTATTCTAAGTTTCCTTTAAGTTTCCGTTTAATAGGGCAGGTGTGGTCTGATCGTCTGCGAAGTTTTGTAGCTGGTTTGCATGCGGAAGGACACAGATTCTGGAGCATGGACTTGCACCCTCCGAGGCAGATGCTGTCCTTCTGGATAAGTGGGTGCTGGAGCCGTGGGTCCAGAGGGAGACCTTGTCTGGGTGTCGATCTGGGCAGGCCTGAGGCTTCCGTGTGTGGGTTCCCGAGAGCCGTCAGTCTGTGTGGCTCCATAGGCAGGGCCAGGAGGTGTCAGTGAGCCCGGGTCAGGGTCAGAGCGTTGGCATGGGGGCCAGGGAGCTCCCAGGGGCGGGTGGCCAACCTGAGGGTCATGCTGCCATCACTTGCTCCCGATTTGTGAGTGTCCTGGTCTCGCGGGGAGGCCCTGTGAAGGCTCCGAGAGGCATCTCGCCCCCAAGGTCTCTGCACCATTGAGTCCTTGGAGGGTCACTTCGTACGTTTCACATTTTGGCTGGAGGTTCCTCCCACTTGCAGACACTGGATGGAAAACACCAGCTTGAAGAAAGGTGTGGAGGAGAGGAGTATTTATCTGTGTCTCCTTCTATTTGTACAAAATCTTATGTAAAAACAGAACGAAGACATTTTAAACACTGCGCAGTAGGCCTCCCAAATGAATGAAGCAATTCCTTTGAAGAATTTTAGAACACTTTATGAGGTTACTAAGATAGCAAACTTTAAAAACATAGTGAATATGAGTCATAGCCGCTGTGTGTGGGACGGTCAGTATCCCGTGTCTTCTGGGAGGGCTGCAAGGGGAGGGGTCGCTCGTCACGGCGGGGGTGGGCAGGGCCGCCTCGTGGTCCTGTGTCTCTTTTGCCAATTTCACCATAAGATCTGTCCAGATTGAGTCTAAGATTGATTATTAGACGTTATGTAATTCTACTTTTAAATGAATTTGATAATCGAGCCACGTTTAAATGATTGTGAGCCTAATATCTGTCTTATTTTTTAGGTGTTATGATTTGTTAAATTCAAGTGCAACTAAGTGAGATGTCGATAGGCGACGTTTTGATGTCAAATTTTGGAGGATTGTGACTTGCTGAAGTTGTTGAGTGAAACTTTCAGGCAAAGGCCTTTGACTTTGAGTGCAGATTGGTGTCCCCTTTGTGCCCAGAACAGTCCTCTTGCTTAGAATCTGCTCAGCCAGCATCTGCGCACTCAGCACTCTGCGATTTGCGTCCCAGCTGTTAAGCAGTTCTTTAGTTAGGAAGTGACACGGCAGCGCAGGGGGTCTGGGCCTCTGAACCAGACTGTCAGCACGTAGGTTGTGGGGCTAGGCTTTGACAGATAGCATTTAAAGATGCTTCATGTATCATTCTCTAATTGCAACCTATAAAATTTATCTGAAGGTAAAGATTTCTAAAATTCAAGTCTGTCTCTTGAAATGTTATAAAGTTGTGTACTTAGTTTTTCTATAATTTCTGTGTGTCCTTAGTTAATACAGTAGGTGAGAGTTGACTAATTTTACCAAAATTTCCATTCTTGAGTTAAAATGTTTCAGTATGATAAATGAATTTCAGTGTGATGTTCTTTTATGTTGTGTTACATTTCAAATATTCCTCACCATGCTTTCTGACGCTTGTTACTTTTTGTCTCTAATATATTATGAATTAATAGAAAAACATTTTTTCATTTAATTTTTGAATTTATTCCACATGATTCTTAGTAGAGGTGGTCATTTCTGAGCCTGTCACCACCACCACCACCACCATCACCATCATCACCATCATCACTGATGGGGCTTTAGGGTGATGGTGGGGGTGTCCAGAGCCGACAGCCAGGAAAGAATTCTCGAAGACGTCTTTTGTGCAAAAAAGGTGATTTTATTAAAGCACGGGGACAGGACCCGTGGGCAGGAAGAGCGGCGCTGGGGTGGCGGCGGGTAACTCGTTACTTACCCTCAGGTTGGGAGGAGGTCAGGGATGGAGTAAGTCTCTAAGGAATTCTGGAAGCAAGGTTTCCAAGACCTTGAGCGGCTAGTTGTGTGAGGCGAACGTCTTCATTACTGTTTAGGAAAACCCCAGTCAGGAGACCCTGCGGATGTGCATCAGGGGCCGTAAGCTCGGGCAGGACCGCCTGCATGTACTCGAGGGGGAGAGAGAAAGCAGGTTTGCGAAGGAACTTTTCCATGTTTAAGGAGACTCACAGGTCAGGGTGATGTGAGGCCAGGACTCCCCTGTGCCCCAGCAAAGGGTCCTCTTCGAGGCGGCTGAGCTCCTAGCGGGAGGTCCCTCTGCCTGTTTCAAGGACTCGTCTGTGGGCTGCATGCAGCAGGGAATTTAAGCTTTCATTCGCCTCAGTTTCCCCCATCACCATGGCGGGTGCTTAGCCCCCCTTCCGTCTTGCCGAGGGTGATATTAGGGCTCCAGGAAACGGAGTCTATAGGTTTCTGGAGAAGAGGCTCTGGGTAAGTCTGCCTTTGTCTTGCAGTTTACTGAGTTCTCCGTAAACTGAAGGAGACTCGCGTCCTGCACGGCTGTGACCTCCCTCAGTCAGCCACCCGCTTTCTGTCCTCTCCCCTCTTCCTGGGCGGCCGGGGGTGTTCCGGAAACCCCCCACACACATCCCCCCTGGGGGGGGTTGCTGTTGGCCTGCACTTGGCCCTCAGCTTGGCCCACACTCCCTCCTCAGTCGCCGCCGCCACCACCACCACCGCCGCCACCACCATCGCCACCATCACCACATCACCATCATCACCATCACCACCGCCACCACCGCAGCCGCCACCGCCGCCGCCACCACCACCGATCGCCACCACCACCGATCGCCACCACTGCCGCCACCACCACCGCCGCCACCGCCACCACCATCACCACCATCACCATCACCGCAACCACCACCATCACTGCCACCACCACCACCACCATCACTGCCACCACCACCACCACCATCACCATCACTGCCACCGCCACCACCACCATCACTATTATCATTTTTTGTGTACGGAAAGCAGTTTGTCAACATTGCTCTTATAAGTCCCTATTTCCTTGTTCTTTTACTTGTTCTTTCTTTATTTGTTTCTGGGGTTTATCCTAGAGCCATGAAAACTTCACCTTGATGAAACATGGTGCATCAGATGTCAGTCTGAACTTTTTTTCCATTCGGTTCCAAATTTGTTTTTATTTTTTTTTAAATATTTTTATTTATTTCTAGGAGAGAGAGAGCGTGAGCAGGGGAGGGTCAGAGAGAGAGGGAGTCACAGACTGAAACAGGCTCCAGGCTCTGAGCTGGCAGTCAGCACAGAGCCCGACGCGGGGCTCGAACCCACGAACCGCGAGATCATGACGCTTAACCGACTAAGCCACCCACGCGCCCCTCCAGATTTGTTTTTAAATTGTTTAGGCTGACTAAACTGGAAATGCAGAATATACTTTTGGACTTTTAAATGCAGTTTACTTATAAAAAATAAAGCTCTAGCTTTAAAATAACGTTAAAGACAATTCTTTTAAACTTAACCAGTTTTTCTCATATATTCAAAAGAAGTTATTTCATTTTGCAAAATGATGTAAGGCTGTTTTTCCTGACATCTTGGGATTTTCTTGTTTCCTTTCCTCTCTGTTCCCATTTTGTGGTAAAAGACTGTACGTGTCTGTGCGCAGTACCTCCTCTGTCATAGGGACTGCATGAGGGCATGCAGCTCGTTAAATGGTACTGATTCTTATTTTTTAAATGTAAGTTTATGGAGACCGGGGACATTGCCTTAGAAAGCTCTCTCTTCGCAAAGGCGCCCAGTTTCACACATTCCCTTTGTTCCCACTAGGGTGAAGGTGAGGGATAAATGTCCAAGAATTTGC